ACCACTTTACACCGATTTTAATCCAATTTTCCCTTAGTCTCAATTTATCTCACCGTTGCAAGGAGACTTCTTGTCATTCTATCTCCTCTGAGGACAACAAATGGATTCAAGCTTTAGTCTTTTATTCACTCAGTATTTATTAAATGCCTATCATGTGCTAGATACTGTTCTAGACACTGTGCAATTAAAAAAAATAACTACCTAAAAATAAATAAATAACCACCTGACACTAGAATGCATGGATTACCAGAGAAATTGGATAACTTATTTCTCTGTAGTTTTTAAGATAATTATTTGTCTAGTCAATATCATTAACTTGAAGATAGCTTAAGGTAAAAGGAATGGGCAGTCTCCTTTCAATGTTCTGAGTTCAGTGAACTCTTAAAACTGAAATATCAAGGAGATACCATCAAACAACCCAAAGCATCGCTAAGAGAAACCAAATTGTTTATAAGCTCTTGTCTGTCAAATTTTTGCCCTCCTGCAACCATTGCAATTATGCATGTTCCTACTTTCATGCTTCCTTCCAGAGCTCCATGAGTTATGAAAGGAAAATAAAAGCCATGATCTCTAAAACATACTGTAATGGCCACAGTCCAAATATCCCACCTTGTTGTCTGTGGAGAAATGTTTCTTATTTAAATTGTTCCCATTTCTTCCACATTGGTAAAGTCAATAGAAAAATATATAGTAGACTAACTGGGATAAGAAAAGAGTTTTATTGGAGTCCCTGGGTGGCTCAGTCAGTTAAACGCCAGACTCTTGATTTTGGCTCAGGTCATGATCTCAGGGTCATGAGATCGAGCCCCACATCGGGCTCTGTGTTAAGCATGGAGCCTGCTTAGGGTTCTCTCTCTCTCTGCCCCTCCCACCACCACCCCCGACTCGTGGTCTCTCTGTCTCTCTCTAAAAAATAATAATAAAGTCTATTTCTTAAAAAATAGTTTTATTATTCCATTAACAAATTCCTAGTAAGTGTGATTAGCATAACGATTTTTCACATCAAGTAGAATATGGCTTCAGTAATGTGATGAGGATAATACACACCCCGTAATACCAACTGCTTTATTTTTAAGTAGGATCCACACCCAGCGTGGAGCCCAATGCTGACTGGAACTCACAACACTGAGATCAAGACCTGAGCCGAGATCAAGAGTTGGTCGCTCAACTGACTGAGCCATCTCGGGTCCCCCTAACTGCTTTTTAAAAACATATAATAAAAATAATGTAAGAAGGGAATGTAATTAGCTTGCATGTTTCAACCTGGGTGTATTTACTGGCTGTGTGATCCAGGATAAATTATTTAACCTCTCTGAGTCCCCCTTTTCTTAATTATAAAATTGAGAGACCAAGAGCTATGGTAGAGTTTGTTAGAATTCAATGCCTAACATAGTAGATAATTAACGCTAGGTAAATATGAATCCAAAGGTCAGTAAAACTTCTAGAAGAGAGTATATACATCTGTCTGAAAAGTGTCCTTGGGAAGAATTTATCCCAGCCACTTACATATTTTACAAATTGAATAAAGCAGAATTTCTTAAAACATTGTCACATAAGGCAGAAGAACAAATCTTCCCTTTTAATAAATGTTTCCTTACTGCAATATCCAATTCAATTAGATTAGCCTGGATGTTTTTGGAAGGACCTGACTGTAATAATGCATAAAAGTTTTTCTAATAGCTGGCCAGGAGCTTTTGCTGACACTTAATGAAATCTGTTTAATTACTCCAGCAGACCCTATATTGGCTGCTAGGCTGGGGTCACTGGAAAACTCGACCCTGTGGTACTTGGGCTATAAGAACACCTTCTGCTGATTGAAGCTTGTACCCTGTGGAAATGTTTTAATGTGATCCTTGAAGCATGTCCCAAGAAATGCTGTCAACACATATTCTTCCTTGTCAGGCCTTTATTTGGTCAGGAATACTCAAGAGCGCTGTCTTTCTGCCTGTGGTTTACCACACTGTCTCCCATTTGCTTTCAAATCTGCTTTAGTTGTGTTCAATGAAGCAGAGGTAGCTGAATTAGAGGGACATCATCAACATGACTCCTCCAGAGAAAATTTCCCATCAGATAAATCACTAAACCAGCTACCATGTTCTGATGCACAGAAGCCACATCCTGGCCACCTGATCATTCACTTGCACAAAAACATGTTCTCGACAGTGTGAGCAAAGGGGCATGGCCAGCAGACCACATGAAAAGCTGGGGTTGATCGCAAATCCCCACAATAAAGACTTTCAAAAGAAGAAAGAAAAGGCAACAAGAAAAGGGTAACATGGTCAGAATTCATACTATCACAGCTGATTTTTTTTAATAACAAATAAAAGCTTTTTGGACACTACTATTGAACATAAACTAAAAGGTATGGCATAATCCCTAAAAACCCATAGTTGCTGGGGCACCTGGGTGGCTCGGTCATTTCAGTGCCTGACTTCGGCTCAGGTCATGATCCTGGGGTCCTGGGATCGAGTTCCGCACTCAGCCAGGAATCTGCTCATCCCTCTCCCTCTCCCTCTGCCACTCCCCTGGCTTGTGCTCTCTCTGTCTCTCTCTCAAAATAAATAAAATCTTTAAAAAAAATCCATAGCTGCTTATATAAACATAAATGCTCTACACTATGAATTGATAGAGCAGGGTGACTCGGTATTGACAAACATAAAAATTTGCCATAGCCAAAGGTGTTGAAACCTTTCCCCCAAGGTATGTTGCTACTGTTGTTACTTGTTTGTAATGCACTGGAATTCCCACAGAATAGGAAATTGCCTCAACTGTGATCATCTGACCAATTACAAGTCTTGACGTCATAAGTTTTTCACTAGTTCTGAGAATGGACAATGTCCAGTGCACAGAACTAACTTGATAGGGGTTTTTACTGTCCAAGACAGCTGGTATTTAGAATAAAATGAAGGCTCACATTTTTTAGAAATGTGATTATTGGGGAAAAAATCTTGATTTCACAAAAATAATTCTATTTTACAGTCTATATTAATCCAAGGAAAAACTTTCAAAACCACTATCTACGTTTTAACCCATTTGAAGCAAAACTGGAATAGTTGTACTGCATTTTCATTTTAGGCATTTAGAACTTTCATATTAAGGAATGATACTTTTGGGGGATTGGCTAGCCCGGTGATGGGTATAAAGGAGGGCACGTACTGCATGGAGCACTGGGTGTTATACGAAAACAATGGATCGAGGAACACCACATCAAAAACTAATGATGTATTGTATGGTGACTAACATAATAAAATTTTTTTAAAAATTAAAAAAAAAAGGAATGATACTTTTAGAATTGGAACCTTTCCTTCCTAATCACAGAATGCTAAAGGGGATGAAGTTCTTCAACTTGACAGTAATAAATAACCACATTGGCCTTTCTCTTTGCTCTTCTTCAACCACCAATAGCCATGTGGGGCATTGAGATCCTCCTCCCCCCAAAAGGTTCAGAACAGTTATAAACTGCAGACCTACATACCAGAACACTAAAACATTGAACTAGAGAAAGATGAAATTTCTGGACCAAAAAGACAATAGTGATAACAAAAATCCACAGAATATCTAAAAATATATATATAAAAGCAATGTTCAAGACTCCTGTAATCACAACAATAAAACAAACAAAAACAATAAATGAGGTTAGGAAAACCTGAAACAGACCTTATTTCTAAATAGGAAAGAGTAATTCTGAAAAATTTTTATTTTATTTTTTAAGATTTATTTAAATCGAGGCACCTGGGTGGCTCAGTTGGTTAAGCAACTGCCTTTGGCTCAGGTCATGATCCTGGAGTCCCAGGATCGAGTCCCGCAACAGGCTCCCTGCTCATCAGGGAGTCTGCTTCTCCCTCTGACCCTGCCCCCTCTCATGTGCTCTCTCTCTCTCTCTCATTCTCTCTCTCTCAAATAAATAAATAAAATCTTTTTAAAAAAAGATTTTTTTAATCTTAAATTTAAGAGAGAGAAAGCATGAGGGGCAGAGGGAGAGGGAGACAGACTCCCTGCTGAGCAGGGAGCCTGACATGGGGCTCCATCCCAAGACCCTGAGATCACGAGCAGAGTTGAAATCAAGAGTTGGACGCTTACCAACTGAGACACCCAGGTGCCCCCTGAAAAATTTTTAATAATACCAAACTAATCTATATGTTTATTCTAATCCAAAACTGTCAGTAGTGGTTATCCCAGGAGTGGGGCTGGGGAAAATGTTTGCAATACATATATGACAGACAAATCTTCCAAACAGCAACTGCTAAGAAAAAAACAATAATTTTATTTTTTTAAGATTTTATTTATTCATTTGAGAGAGAGAGTGAGCAAGAGAGAGAGAGCAAGCAGGGGGGAAGAGTAGAGGAAGAAGCAGCCTCCCCTCTGAGCAGGGAGCCAGATACAGGAGTCAATCCCAGGACCCTGGGATCATGATCTGAGCCAAAGGCAGATGCTTAACTGACTGAGCCACCCAGGCGCCCCAAAAAACAATAATTTTATAGAAAAAAATGCACTTACAATTGAATTTCGGATATTTCTGTTCTCAAAAGCCCTTGGCCATTCCTGCCACTGGCAGTTGCTCTCTTCTGGACTGGGAGGAGGACCCAGAGCTCCTCTGGGTAAGGACAAAAGATATGACCAGGTCACAAAAGAAGAAATACAAGTTGGTCTTAAATACATGAAAAGAAGCTTGGCCTCACTCGTAATAAGAGAAATGTAAAATAACACACATCTAAGACACCATTTTTCACTTACCAGGTTGGCGAAAACCAAAGTCTGATAGCACTCTATTAACATGGCTGTGGGTAAATAGGAACTCTCATACACTGGTTGAATATTATTATATTGCTTGTATGTTATAGATTATTTACATTTCTAAGATGGGTAATTGCATGTTATTTATTGAAATTATAAATCATGTATTCTTTGATCCAACAATTCCACTTCCTACAGATGTACTCACATACATGCAAAATGACACAAAATTAATGCTGAAACACTGTTTAAAATAGTAAAAGATTAGCTTTGCGCAGTGGCAGTATCGTAGCCAATGAGGTTTATCCGAGGCGCGATTATTGCTAATTAAAATAGTAAAAGATTGAAAAAAGCTAAATATCTTTTGGGTGGGGACTGCTTAAATAAAATATGGAACATCCATATAAAAATATCATTCAGCTGAAAAGAAAAGGAAAAAATTCTTTATGTGCTGATATGGGAAAAGTTCCATGATATATTATTAAGAAAGCAAAGTATGTGAGAGTATTTAAATAGGCTAATATTTGTGTATAAGAGGGGGATATAAAAATATAGATTCAAATGCATAAGAATATAACCATGATGACTTGGAAAAGGGGACCGGGTTTCAGGAAATACAAGGGAAGACCAGAGGTGAGAAGAGGAATTTTCACGATTTACCTTTTCATAACTTTTGGATTTTTGAATATTGTGAATGTACTACCTACTGGAAAAAAATTTAACTGAATTTTAGTTGGACGTTTTTTCTTCATGAATTATTTGAAAACCATCTTCTTTACACCATGAGATGACTTTGTAAATGTGTTTGTGAAAAATCTCTGTTTTTTACCCTGGTGAAGGCAATTATATTATAATTTGAAGTATTAATTGCTTTCTCATATTTAATTTTAACACGAAGTATACCACATTACCATAGTTTAACAAACAAAAAATTTCAAATTTTTTGATATTGAGAGGTGCAGGAAAATAAAGGGCAAATAGATTTTATATTATTTGTGTATTATACACAATACATATTTATAAAGGAACTGAAGTTAATTTTCAGACAATGTTGCACTATCTCAAAACTTTATCATTGGTTTAAACTTGTCACACAACCACCATATCCCACAACAAATTGATTCTTGTTACATACAAGGAAAGAGTGTGTGTTTAAACAATGCATTATTTACTGACTTGGAAAAAAATAACACATTGAAGTCAGTGGACTTCTGTCCTTGAAGGAATGTAATGAACTAGTCTTTGGATAAAAGTTCCCTAGTGCCTAGTGGTGAAGGGCACGAGATTTTGGAGTAAGACCCATCTAGATTGAATCCATTGCCTATGTGACCTTGGGTGAGTTACTTCATAGGAACTGTTTCCTAATACACAATAGATTCCTCATAAAGTTGTTCATTAAATAAAATAATGCACATAAATGGTTTAGCACAGGCACCTACTTAAACTCTATTTTCATTATGAACCTTGATGCTCCTAGTCAGACACATCTCACCAAAAGGGCCCACAAGTAGTCCAGAAACTATTTGAGAAGTCTCCCGATTCCTCAGGCGAATCACCTGTGAACATGCAAACATCTCTAGAAGGATATTAATCCGGTAACTATTAATATTTCTAGAAGTATATTAATCCAGTAACTATTAATATTTAGCATAGAGCATTAAATAAATAAACTTGATAATGTATTACATAAATTGAAATAAATGTTACTTTAATAGCTAGTAGCAGAATTCATCTCAGAGAGCAGTCTCTGTTTGGTGAGACACAGAATCCTGTGCCCTTTCAGCTGTGGAAAGAGTCCTTGGTGCACAGCTTGAATGAGGCAGGAATAAGACAAAGGGAGCAAAACTGTTCTACGTACGAAGAGAACAGGGCTTTGTGCGGTTTAGGAGCACATGCTAGTCTGAGAAAAAGGGCAGACTTTGAAGGAGGAAGAAAGAAGCTCTGGGTCCTCCTCCCAGTCCAGAGGAGAGCAACTGCCTGGTATCAGGAATGGCCAAAGGCTTTTGAGAACAGAAATGTCTGAAATTTAGCTGTATTTACATAGCTTCGTGGCCCCAAACCTTTCATAAGATCTCACATGTAACCCTGAGATGTCAGGACTTGAGGCAGTGAAAGGACTTGAATGATGTCCAGGAAGAAGGCACATGCAAAAGCAGTCAGGAAATACAGACGGTAAGATAAACACCCTGTAGAGACTTCCAGAAACAGATAGCCTCCTCCAAAAGCCTTCAGACATAGCGAGGATGGGGTGGGGGGCAAGGGATACCTCCTTTCCCACTATGTACATCAGGAAGGGCTACGTCCATTTGATTAAGTCTCAAAGGATGGAGTGAGCTGGCTGCATGTTGGCTGCATAGCTCTCCTTCACCCCGCTTCTCCAATAGTGGGGAAAAGCTAAAGCAGGACCCAGAGCCTCAACCCACGGCTGACAGGAGAAGGGTAACACAAGGTGGGGTTAGAAGAGAAAGCTTGGAGGGGATGATACATGAGGGGCATCAAACGGGGACGCCTTAATGGGAGGTCATTGTTCCGAATAAGGAGGAGCATCCATGGCTTGAACAGGCTCTAGACAGTTTACATTTTAAATATTATTCACCTAAAATTAAATTTGGGATATGCTATGTGGCTATATGATCAGATACCATATTACCTGGGATAAGTTACTGAGAGGAAATATTAAATTTGTAACATAACAACAACAACAAATGGAAAAAAGCCTGGAATTAAAAAAAAAAAAAAACCCAACATGAAAATGGTATTTTCTTCCAAGCAGTCTATTTAAAAGAGTTAAATTAAGACATGAAATGATCATATCAGCCTTAATTCTTCTCTGTTATTAATTGAACTCCTTCTTGGAAACATGCAGATAAAAGTTCCACCTTGGAGAATTTGAGATAAGAGTGAACGGTAAGGAAGAGAAATTAGCAGGCTTTACCAGTTCACACTCAGAACCATCACGCTCTGTTTGTTCAAAGCTGCCCACAGATGCATAATATTAAATTGAACCTTTAATGTATTCTGATGTGAGCTTACAATCATAAGGCCTGTTCTTAGGTTCACACTTTTCTTTGTACATAGTAGGGGCCATAAAACCAGGTGAACAGCAAAAGGCTGTTGTGAAATAAGATAAATGAGAGTTCCATGGGTTATAAAGAAATTCAAGCTGCTTCCTAGGATGAAATATACATAGATGTACATACACACTGTAGATATTCCTCAGCTAAGTATAATAGATCCTATAATGCATTCATTTACAGGCATATTAAGATGATAAAAGAAATGATGAAATTCGGGTCTTTGCCTAAGGAAGACTTGTTATAAATAGTAAAACTGGCCAGATGTCCAGTGATCCTAAAAATAGTTAAGTTTCTACTGTGAAACCCATCACTTCATGGAAAATAATGAGAGAAACACAGCCGTACTCTATGGAAAAGATCCACCATGAAATAGCCAAGATAATTTCCTTCATTTGACCATAAACCCATCAAAACTTCATGGAATGTGGTTACTTTATTTATGCAGTAACTGTGTTCAGTTAACCACACATGCCGTAGACTTCTTAAATAATGAGCGAGACAGACGGACTGCCATCAGCCCTGTTCTCTAATAGGAACTCAAGTATCAATGTAAATCTCCAGAATCCTAATGAATTTTCTACTGACATCAACAGTCGCCAACACAGACCGACCTAGAAATAGATGGTATCTCATGCCTCCTTCGTTCCTCAAAACATTTATTCTTAAAATCTAGCTTAAAGTGAGCCACTTTTAAAAAAGAATCCAAAAGGACTCTAATCCTTTTATATACTACTTTCAGATATTTTGAGTCTGAGAGGCTGATCATCACTATCAAAACAAGGAAAGTCATCTTTTTAACGGAAATTGACCCAATATTAATGTGGTCCATGAAAACGTGTGAAGTCTTGATCGTTGTGATGTCAAAGAAGCTAGACCTGTCTGGTACCATCAGCTATGCCCCACTTTTTCTTTTTCTTTTTCTTTTTCTCTTTCTTGTACTTTGCATATGGCTTGCCGCTTGGTGATGTAGTAGTAGACTCTTGTCGTGCTTCTCACCAGTTTTGTCCAAAATAGCTGTTTTCCTATCCACAGTCTTCCAAAGAGCCACTATCAATGGAACTTTTTTTTTCCACTTCCAATATAATTAGCATACAGTGTTCTATTAGTTTCAGTTGTACAATCAATGGAACTATTTTGGCAAAAGCCTGACTTATTTTAAAATAAATAAAGCAGAGTTATGGAAAAGTGATAGTTAAAAAAAGTTATAGCCAAGAAACAATCAAATTAGTGCCAACTGTTCCATATTCAAGATAGATTCTAATGAAGATAACACTCATTATGGAAATTCCTAAAGTAAAAGCTAAAGAGTTGTGGTAGGTCAATCAGTTTCTCTCATCAGAGTGCACAATACCACACATTAGAGTTCTCAAAGGCATAGATGATGTTACATGTTAAGGAGGACACAACTACATATTACCCCCTTCAAAAAAAAAAAAAGATTTGTTTCTTGTTCTGTCACAGAAGTAAAGATGTATAACCTGTAGAGCAGCTATTTTTATAGACTATTAACTGCCATTTTTGAAATTTTTGAAACTGTGGAGCCATTTCTTCAAACATACCTTAGAAACCCACTTTATAAAGAAATGCAACTGCTCTGGTTGAGGAGATCAGAGGGAGAGTCAGATGTGAAGGAAACCTCTCCCAAATCCTAGTCTTAACCCCCCCCCACTTACTTCCTTTACCCCCCCCCCACTTACTTCCTTAACCATGGGCTTTGGGTACAAAACTGTCATTGTTTTATTTCCTTATTTCTTGTTTTATTTCTCAAAAAGTAAAAAATGTGTAAAGCCTAAAAATTTCTAGGCAAAACCACACATTAGAATTAAAAAAAAATAAGCAAAAACATCTCTATGGATATGTAACAAGATCTGAGCATAAATTTTAACAGAACTAGCTAAAAACTGTTAGCTTAACCTCGTGTTCTTGCCTCAGACTACCTCTAGGCTGTCTTTGTTCACCGGATCCAGCAGCCTTTCGCAGAACCGCCAGCCTCTCTATCCTGGAGTGAAAGAAGGCATAGTTTTCATCTACTCCTTTACTTTTGTGCCCCTTCAACCAAAATTTTAAAAGACTATACTGACATGCAAACTGCCTCTGTCTTCAATTTTACAATTTTAAATAGACTGATTCCACTCTACAGGAAAGAGGGGGAAAAATCAAAGTCCATGGTCATTACTGTGATTGAGGTTTTTGCTACAGGTGAACAGATATTGCCATCTACTGTTGAGAAAAAATAAAATGGCTAAGCCCAAACTTTTCAGCCTTGCTATGGTTTTGACAGATCATAAATTTAAAAGGGAAAAAAGTGGCTTTATGAAAATAGTTTCTCGTC